TTGCCCTGTGACAATGGTTAACAACCCCACGACATGTCAACACTGTCCTTTCTCAACCTTGGGTTCCCTATCACCAGCTTTCCTGTCCCCTCCTGCCTTCTAGTCCTTGTCCCTGGACTGCTATGCGTCATTAGTCCCGTTTTGTTTTATGTGGCTGTCCTATCCCCGGCTGAGCGGTGAACCTCGGGAGTGACTTCACCACTGAGCTAAAAGAGTGTCCGGGGGCCATACTCTTGGGGTTTCTCCATAAATATCAGTTTTAAGACTGTCAGAAAGATGTATCCTTTCACACTTTCAAGTGAAGTTCTCAAACACCTTTCTAATGATTCTCCTTCTGGACAATTCTTGTTTCTCTGCATTTTAAAAGGAGGTTAATTTGCATGGCATTCATGATCATTCATTTTTCCATAGAACTGACGATTGGTTTTAGAAAATCTTGGCCAGGGTTTTTAAACCAACCAACAAATAGGAATAAAGAAAACAAAGTTGAACTAACTCAAGTTAGAATTACTCTTAAATTCTGATTAAATATGTTCATTCTTTTATCTTAAAGCAACAACCCTTTAATAGCTAGAATAAATGAAGTGGGAATAAATAAGTTTTTTAAAAAGCCTTATGTTTGTACAGTTGGTAGACCAAGAATTCCTCGCCTACTCTACCCTGCTACCACTTCTCTTCCTTTCTGGTGTTTTCCTGGCTATTTTTGCTAATTTATTTTGCCATATAAATTTTACAATTAGTTTGTCTGGTCAGGAGCGGGTGGTGAGGAGGTGGATTTTTTGGTATTTATATTGAGATAACTTTGAATTTGTAAGTCAGTTTAGGGAAAATTGCTGTCGTCTATGATGCTGCATGTTCCCATCCAGTTACATGGTTTGTCTTTGTGTTTGTTCAAGTCCAGTTTTGTGTCCTTTAGGGGTATTTTAAAGTTTTCCTCATATAGGTTTTGCACATTTCTTTATAAGTTTATCATTAGATAGTTTAGCTTTTTCCTGTCTCATCTGTTATTTCTTCTAACTAGCTGTACATAGATATGTAAATAAAGGCTATTGATTTCTGAGGTTTAAGTTTATATCTTGCTACCTGTAACCAGTTACCATCTAGTCAATTTCAGTCCCGTGTTTGTCAGAATAGAACTGTGCTCCATAGAGTTTTCAGTGACTCATTTTTCAGAAATATATTGCCAGGGTTTTCTTCCAAGGCACCTCTGGGTGGACTTGAACCTCCAACCTTTCAGTTAGCAGCAGAGCACCACCCAGGGACCTCCAATGAAGGATACACAGATAAATAAGACACAGACCCTACCCTAGTGGTACTAGCCACATACCTGCAGAGATTAATGCTTTGTTTGGCCTCAAAATAACCCTGAATGATAGGCACTATTTTTATTCCCCTTTTTACAGCTAAGGAGACAGGTGGGTCAGAGAAGATAATTTGACTAACGTCACACAACTAGTAAGTGATAAGTACAGTTGAGCTTTGACCTTGAGAAAGATGTCAGCCCAAGGTTCACTGTCTTAATGACTTCTGTATATACTCATCTATGGAGTCCTGGTGGGACAGTGGTTAAGAGCTCAGGCTGCTAACCGAAAGGTTGGCAGTTGGAATCCATTAGCCACTCCTTGGAAACCCAATGGAGCAGTCCTACTCTGTCCTATAGGGTCACTATGATTTGGAATGGACTTGATGGAAACAGGTTATGGAGTCATGAATGGAGCCCTGGTGGTGCAGTGGTTAAGCACTTGGCTGCTAACTGAAAGGTTGGCATTTCAAACCCATCAGCCACTCTATGGGAGAAAGATGTGGCAGTCTGCTTCTGTCCTGTAGGGTCACTCTGAGTCGGAATTGACATCATGGCAACAGGTTTAGTTTTTTTGGATGGGGTCGTCATGAGTGAGAATCAATTGAACAGCATTTCCATCATGAATAGTCTACCAAGCGCTTTCATTTCAGTCAGCATTATGAGTCCAGCCTGTGTGTATGGTAACCAGGCTTCACAGAGGTTAAGAAAGCTGGCCAAGCAGGTCACGGGCAGAGCCTGGCTCATAGTTCCTTGGGGCCATAGGTGAGGGACAGTTGGGTACAGTGGGGGTTCAGAGGACAGATTTCTTCTGACAAAGGGAGTACAGAGCTAGAAAGTTAAGCTATTCAGAAGCAGGATCTGGCACAATCCATTTATTAGAAAGCCAGTAATAGGCAGACAAAAGTCCCATTCCCAGCCCCTTTGACTCATGTTACTGATGTGCAGACCTCACCCCAGACCAATTCAAGCAGAATCTCCCAAAGCGGGGCCCTGGTAGGGATTTTGTAAACTCCATAGGTGATTTTAATGAGTCACCAACATTGAGGATCACTGTTACCCTAGCATTCCCCTTGACTTCCCTGGTTGCATGTGAAAACCACATTCAGGCTCGCCTGTGCTTTCTTATTCCAGATGAAGGGAGAAGCTGGAAGTGTGCTACGCAGTGAGAAGTCAAAGCAGGTAAACATCAGCACCTTGCCCACCAAACTGCTGACAAGGTGGCCAGTGGCTCTTTCCATATCTGCAGTTGCCTGACGTCTCCCCCAGGGCTTCAGGGTGGTTGACACGAGGATGTGCTCATTTCAGTAGCTGAGTGGAGACCACTGGACTACAAACTTCTTTATACCCAAAGCCCCTTTGCATGACAGAGTGTATGTGCAGAGTCATTGCAAAGCCCCATAGTTGTCCCGCCATCATTCCTGACCTACCTGCTGCAGCCCTTAGAATACCCCCATGCCCCAGGCCTCGAGAACCACCCCTTTCAGTAACTGCTCTGGAGATAACAGAGGCCCACTGGGGCCTGGAAACCAGCTCTTGACCCCAGGTAACTTCTGCTGTGCATGTTCCTGTGCTTCACAGTAGACCTTTGTCCTGTTTATATTCCTGTCCTCTGAGCTGCTGGAGAGATTAGAAAACACCACCATCACTGGAAAAATATCTAATCCTCTACACGAAATTAAGTTTTAAATTTGACTTAGTTTGGTTTAATTAAGAAGATGAAAAATTACTCGGAAGCTTAGCTAGGAACCTTAGGGGGCAGTGAGTTTATGTTAATGGGGAAGAACAACTCAAAAAAGGAAAGTGAGAATGGTTACACAACTCAAAGAATGTAATCAATGTCACTGACTTGTACATGTAGAAACTGTTGAATTAGTATATGTTTTGCTGTGTATATACTCAACAACAAAATATATTATTTTTAAAAAGATGAAAAATTAAATTCAGAAGAGGAAAAATTCCCAGTGAGTCTGGAAAAATTCCTGAAAAGGATCTTCAGAATCCAAAAAGAAAAGAAATAATGCAAAAGCCCCAGGTAACCTGTCTAGCGTACTTGGGGTGACCTTTGGCCCGTGTTAAAAAAAAAAAAAAGTTCATATTCTCTGATTGGTATGGCCAGTCTAGCCCTCAAGAAAAGAGAGGGAGGAAGAGCGAAACTCACTTTCAGAGCTCAAGATCCTTATGAGCACTAGCCCTTCAAAAGCTTTTTACTGGCCATGGAAAATGACTGACATTTTGGTCTTTTGATAAGAAATGGGGCAGGGTAATGCGGAGAAGAAATGATTCAGCACAGATTCAGGTTGCTTAGAATGGGGCAATCAAAACACAGCTGTGCTCCTTCAGATCTCAAGTCTGGGTTAAAATGTAGCATCCTGTTAGGTCACTTCCTCTAGGAAAACCCCCCTCACCCCCTGTACATTAGCTAACTGCAGAGGATCCGCAGGTACACACCTGTTGGGACCACCACCTCCAGTTCTTTCTCACAAAAGAACATAAGCAGACTTCATTTGGCTCAGAAACACGTTATGTGAGTGTGATGTGTTAACACTCTTGACCAGCCTGCAGCCCCAGCTAATCTTGCTGGAAGGCAGAACAATTATAAAAGTCAGAACACGTGTTCATTCACTTTCCAAGGGCAAGAGTGTGGTGGGAACGGGAAAATAAGGCCTGGCCCATGAACTCGTGAAGTCCTACGGCAAGACAGGGTTTCCTCATCCAGGATTCTGCAGCTCCTTCGATGACAGCTGTTCACCACCTTGCCTGCCCATTGGAATCGCCTGGGGAGCTTTAAAAACCATGGCAGGGCCAGGCCTGACCTCCAGAGACTCATGTAATTGGGTTGGGGAGGAACCTGGGCATCGGGATTTTAAAAAGTGCGCAGGTGATTCCAGTTTGCAGTTCATGGGTCCCTGGGACAGCCAGGATGACTGGTAATGAAATCCCGTTAGTGAAAGCTCGCCTGCCCTCCTCTGAGTGAGACAGTTGCCTGCTAGTTTCTCTGGAATCAGGTGAGTTCTTTTCCATCTCCCAACCCTGAGCTCTAATTTTCATAAGCATACCCATATATGGTCAGAGAGCTCTTGATAAGGAAGAGCCTCCCATAGAAGCTGGGAACAGGCCAGCAGATGGGTGTTGGTGGCCTGGTTGAGATTCTAACCTGCATCACTCCTGCTGCGCCTCAGCAGCGAGCTGGGTATGAAGGCAGGAGGCTCTCTGGCGCCTGACACTTTCTTGTTCTGACCCAGAAGGGACACATCTGGGGCTCCATGAGGAGGACAGCTTTCATCCTAGGCTCTGGCCTTCTCTTGTTAGTGGCCTTATGGAACTCAGTCACATGGTGAGTCTGCCTGGCCCCACTTTAACTCACGACCTATGGGTAGTGTGGTGGTGGTCTAAGGGCGGAGTATGGAGTGAGGGGCTGTCTGCCCACCAGTCTTCGCCCAGCAGCATCAATGGTTTTTCTTCCAAGGCATCTGCAGAGATTTTGGGGTGCTTCCGGCTTCTTTTGGCAAGGCCAGTGGGAGAGGCTGCTGTCTACATTTGAAGGGAAGGAGTGGATCCTTTTCACTATAGGTGAGGCTCGCAAATCACTAGTTCTTAGGGCTTGGTTACATGGTTGTAGCTAATTCTTTTTCTATTGTTTTGTTCTCTACTTTGGGACTTCTCCATTCTTTATTCCAAGAAATGAGGACTGGAACTTCAAAAATGTGGTAACCCCAAAGACTGTTAAACTTGTGGGCAGTTTGGAAACAGAATGTCTAAGGAAAGAAGCTAAGAAGTTGAAAGAAAAGAAATAGCTTATGTAAAATGAATGCACACTTAAAGCAACAATCCTACTTCTAGCTGTAGCCCCACAAGAGCAGAGAGAGCTGCTCTATCTTGTCTGAAGCTGTGTCCCCTGTACCTGGTACAACCTAACTCTCAGTGTTTGACACAAGTGGTCACTTAGTAAGTATTTACTGACAGCATGAATGGCTGGAAACAAGCCTAAGGAAGTATGATGGAAGAAAAAGTCATTTAAACGTATTTATAACAGCATTATCTACAAGAGGGAATGTCCTCAGTCACACATTCACTCAAATAATATTAATGTTACTGTGTGCCAAACCTGTATGAGGATATAGAGAGATTTAAGATGAAGTGTTTGCCTAGTCCATTAAAAAACTATGTCACAGTTTCCCAACCCTGAGCTCTAATTTTCAAGAGCTCAAGTTAGATTTGGCTTTTTGCTGTATGTCTCACTGTTTGACAAAGTCACATGGGTTACTCTGCTGTAGGAGGGGAGATAAAAGTGTCAGTTGTCACAAAGCAAAAGTGCAAATAAAATGGGCCCGAGGATTGTTTTTAGCCAGAAGGAAAACTCTGAAAATGGGCTGAGCATTAAATGACAGATTGAATGGAATCTTTAGTTGTCACTGGAAAAGAACAGTGCAGATTACAGGTATATATGGAAAAAGTGGTGGGAAAAGTTTTTATATACTGCGGTACTCTGTCCTATAGGGTTGCTATGAGTTGGAATTGACTTGATGGCAACAGGTTTTTTTGGTATTACAACCTGTCATCTTGGTGAAAAATTTTTAACTTGGTTTTTTTTTCCCCGTTAATTAGATTGTGGACATCTTTCCATGCCAATTAATATAGATTTAGTTAATATTTAAAGCTGCTCAGTTTATTTCATTGCATGCAAATACTGTAATCTGTTTAATCAATTTGCTACAGTGGACATTTAGGCTGCTCATACGTGTTGCTATGACTTAAAAAATGCTGCCTGCCTTTCCTTCCTCCCTTTCTTCCTCTCCTTCCTCCCTCCCTCCCTTTTTGTTTGGTTATTTTTTGGCTCTTCTTTTTTAATTGTGCTTTAGGTGAAAGTTCACAGAGCATATTAGTTTCTCATTAAACAATACACATTCTTTTGTGACATGGGTTGCCAACCCCGGGGCATGTCAACACTCTCCCGTTCTTGACCTTGGGTTCTCCAATTCCATTGTCCAGCTTTCCTGTCCCCTCCTGCCTTCTCGTCCTTGCCCCTGGGCTGGTGTGCCCATTTAGTCTCATATACATGGTTGAACTACCTGTGTTAATTGTTTTATAGGCCTGTCTAATCTTTGGCTGAAGGGTGAACCTCAGGAGTGACTTCAGTACTGAGTTAAAAGGGTATCCGGGGGCCATAGTCTCAGGGTTTCTCCTGTCTCTTGTCAACCAGTTAAGTCTGGTCTTTTTTTTTTGTGAGTTAGAATTTTGTCCTACATTTTTCTCCAGCTGTGTCCATGACCCTCTATTGTGATCCCTGTCAGAGCAGTCGGTGGTAGCTGGGCACCATGTAGTTGTGCTGGACTCAGTCTGGAAGAGGCTGTAGTAGCTGTGGTCCTTTAGTCCTTTGGACTAATCTTTCCCTTGTGTCTTTCGTTTTCTTCATTCACCCTTGCTCCAGACAGGGTGGGACAGTGGAGTATCTTAGATGACTGATCATAAGCTTTTAAGACCCCAGAATGTAGAACATTTTCTTTATAAACTATGTTATGCCAATTGAGCTAGATGTCCCTCAAGACCATGGTCCCCAGCCCTCATCCTGGTAGCTCAGTCCCATGGGGAGTTTGGATGTGTCTGTGAATCTTCTGTGACTTTGGGTCAAGTTATCCCTTTTTATTAACTTCAGATACTGTCAAATTGCCCTCCAGAATGCTTGTACCAATCCATATTACCTGACAGTGCTGGCCAAATATCTACTCCCACAAAGCACTGTGGTTGGTGGGGCAGAAAGGGTACTGGAGGAAGGATACAGAGCCAGAGTTAAGTAAAACCCTGTCCTTGCCCTCTTGGGGTTTTGAATCTAGAGGAGGCAACAATACATGGACAAATAAAGTGAATAATACAAGAGTGAGGTAACATGGTAATGTCACTTGAGTAAGTGCCAACTGTGGTGGACAAAGTGCTGTTTGTTTTCAGTAGGAGACCGGTAATACCTGGAATAACTTCATGGAAAAGTGAGATGTGCAGCAGAAAGCCAAATCTAACTTGTAAATCTTGATCCACAATTCTTAAAATATTCTGCAGAACATCAGTGTTGTGGGATGTTAGTAGGTAAGGTGACCATGTAATTTATCCACATTGGGACATTGTGAGAGTGGAAGGAGGTGTTATCAATAACTGCTGGAATGACAGATATAAACTGAAATTGGCCTGGGCAAACAAGGATGCCATCCTATTCTTAGGTGTTCTGAGAAAAACTTGTTTTAGCGTCAAAAAAAAGTCTGGGAAATGTTGAGTTTAACCAAGTCAAACAGGTTTCTTTGATGCAGGAATTCTTGGAGCCTTTAACATGTAAATATGGACCATGACTCCAAGAGAGAGTATGATGACTCTAACCAAGAAGTCCTGGAGAGATGAGATTTCTGCTTTGAGAGATGTTGACTAGATGGCACCTAAGGTCCCACTGCTCAGTTAGCAGAGTATCAGGGATTAGGTTTCTTGACTGATTCCTAGTCCAGTGCTCATTTTGAACCATACCATACCAAACACTTCCTTTGCTTCTCCCTTCCTTGACAATTCATAAAGGGTTCTATGGGCACAAATCCCCAAACATCAACCTGTTCTTGTTAGTTGCCATCGAGTTGATTGACTCATGGAGACCCCATGTGTGCAGTGTAGAACTACTCAATAGGGTTTTCAAGGCTGTGACCTTTTGGAAGGAGATCATCAGGCCTGTCTCCCGACGAGCCTCTGGATGCGTTCGAACTGCCACCCTTTTTGCTAGTAGTCGGGCACTTAACCATTTGTTCCACGCAGGGACTTCTAACATTAACCTAAATTCATTTATATTTTAGAGTCCATCATTTATGTCAACATCCTTTCATATATATATTTTGTCCCCAATCACCTTTAGACAAGTTGTCCCCATTGTACACTTAGAGACACACCTTAAGTGACTTGTCCAAGTTCCCACAGCTAGTTTGTCACCCCAAGACTAAAGGCAGCCCCCTGATCCAGAGCACTAGGACCTCCCTGGCAAGGCACTGTCTGCGGTTATCATGGAACGTGTGCTCAGTTAATTAATGTGCTGCGAAAACCTGAAGTCCTGATTGTTCCCTTCTGTTTCCCAACCTTAGGTGCCACTCAAGTGCCGGCTCTGTTTTTCTGGAGTTTCAATGGACTTCTACTGGTGGTTGACACAACTGGAAAACCTAACTTCATCTCTCGCTACCGAATTCAGATTGGCAAGAACGAACCGGTAAGTGTTGCTGCAGATTCTCCTGGTCAGAACAAGAAAGCAAAAGCTCAACTCTTAAAATTCTCACTACCGGTCCAGGAGAGACCATGACCCAAGTGGGCCAAGTTATTGTCTACACCACCAGTTGCCAAGTTGATTCCAAGCCATGGCAACCCCATGTGTGTTAGCAGAACTGTGTTCCATAGGGTTTTCAATGGCTGATTTTTCAGAAGTAGATCACTAGGCCTTTCTTCCACGGCACCTCAGGGTGGACTCAAACCTCCAACGTTTTGGTTAGCTGAGTGTGTTAACCACTTGCACCACCCAGGAATGTATTATCTACAAGGCTAACCCCAATTCAGAAGCTTAGAGAGGGAATAATTTGCCAAACATCCCAGAGCAAGCTGGTGGCCAGTCAAGACTATGTTCTAGTCTCCTGATTCCCAGCCCAGGCTCTGTATGACTGTGCTGCCCCAATTACTGCGGTCAGCATTTTAGGAACTAAGTGACCACCTCTGCCTGGCTCCCAGAGACATTAGGTAGCTCCCCCTTATCCAGGAGATAGAGACAGCAATGGCCCCTACTGGATGCTGAAATCCGGGTAACAGCTGTTGTCCTAAGTGAAGGGCACAGCTGCTGAAAACAGTGGAGGACCCTGCCATATTAGATGGATGGTATGGATTCTGAATGTGTTTGGGGGGTGGTTTTTTAAATTGTTGTTTTTAGGTGTTAGAAATCTCATCAGCCAAATGTCCAAATTCATCACTTACAAGTTCTACCTTCCAACAAACATTTGAACGTAATTCAGACAAGTTTCTTTGCCACTGCATAAAAACAGCACCCTTCCTCCACTGTCAATCACGTTCATTTTCTTTAAAGCCTCACCAGAAACACATTTAATGTCCACATTTTTAGCAACATTCTGTTGCTTGTGCCATATGTATTCCCTAAGACAATGCTTTATAGCTTTCCTCAATTCCTCCTGAGCCCCCACCAGAATTGCCTTTGACATCCATAATTCTACCAAGAGTCTCTACTTCAATCTAGGCTTTTACTATTGTTGTTGTTAGTTGCTGTTGTTATAGCGACCCTATGTATAACAGAATGAAACACTGCCCAGTCCTATGCCATCCTCACTATCATTACTATGTTTGAGCCCATTGTTGCAGTGACTGTGTCAGTCCACCTCCTTGAGGGTCTTCCTCTTTTTCGCTGGCCCTCTACTGTACCAAGCATGATGTCCTCCAGGGACTGGTCCCTCCTGATAACATGTCCAAAGTATGTGAGACAAAGTCTCATCATCCTCACTTCTAAGGAGCATGCTGGCTGTACTTCTTCCAAGACAGATTTGTTTGTTCTTCCGACAGTCCATGGTATATTCAGTATTCTTCATCAACACCATAATTCAAATGCATCATTTCTTCTTCAGTCTTCCTTATTCATTATCCAGCCGAAGTTAGGTGAGGCAAAACTAGGCTTCCCTGGGTATCCTAATGCCATCTCTGTCCTTGCTTGCCTCCTTGCTTTCCCTCATGTACCAAATCCATCCCATCTGGAAATCCTATTGGCTCTATGTTCAAAACAGAGCCAGAATGCAACCAGTTCTCATATATCTACAACTGCCACCCTGGTCTATTCACCATCATCTCTTTTCTATATTATTGCAATTCTAACTGGTCTTCCTGTTTCTCCCTTCTCCCCTATAGTCTGTTCTTAACAAAGCAGCCAGAGTAATCCTGCACCATTTTGTCACTTCTCTGCTCACAAGCTTGTAATGACTCTCCATTTCCCTTGGTGTGTCAAAGCCAAAGTCCTTACAATGGCCTTGTATGATCCGGTCTCTCCCCACCTCTTTGACCTCACCTCCTACTTCTCTCCAATTCACTCACTACTCTCCAGCCAAACATGTTAGGAATGTGCCTGTCGCAGAGCCTTTTCACTAGCTTTGCCTGAAGAGTTTCCCCCCAGATATGTTAGGCTAAGTCCCTCACCTCCTTTACATCTTTGTTCAAATCTCATCATCTCAATGAGGCCTACTCTTGACTACTCTTATTTAAAACAATGGTGACTGACCACCTACCACCTGGCACTCCCAATGCCCCATTTCCCTACTTTACTTTTTTTTCCCGAAGCACATAATCCCTTTTATTATACATTAATTTTTTAAGTTGTGGTAAATATATAGGTAATAAAACACTTGCCATTTCTACAGTCTTCACATGTACAGTTCAGTGACATTAATTACATTCATCATGTTGTTCAACCATCACCATTAACAGTTTCCAAGTTTTTTCATCACCCTAACAGAAGCTCAGGATCCCTGGTGGTGCAGTGGTTAGGTGTTCAAACCCACCCGCTGCTCTGTGGGAGAAGGATGTGGCAATCTGCTCCTGTAAAGATTTACAGCCTTGGAAACCCCATGGGGCAATTGTACTCTGTTCTGTAGGGTCACAATGAGTCAGAATCAACTTGACGGCAATGGTTTTTCGGTAACAGAAGCTGTGTTCCCTAAGCATTATGCCTTTTTTTTTCCCCCCTTTCTTCCACCCATCCCTGGTAACTACTAGTAGACTTTCTCTGTATACTTGCCTATTCTAGATATTTCATATAAGTGGGATTATACAGTATTTGTCCTTTTGTGACAGACTTATTTCACTAAGCATGTTTTCAAGGTTCATCCATGTTGCAGGACTTAATTTTTCTTATTATATACATTAACACTTGTTTTTATATCTTTTGTCCTCATTGGAATGTAAACTCCACAAGGGCAAGAATTTTTGCTTTGTTCATTGCTATATTCCCAGCACCTAGAACACTACCTGCTACATACAGAGTGGACACTCAATAAATGTCGGGAGTAACAGCTGCAACTCCCCCGTCTTGGTCAAGGTTTCTAGAAGACTGTATGGCCTTGTCTTACACGTGCTCTCAAACCAAGCTGGCCAGACCTAGCCTCACAATGGATCCCTAAGCTTGAAGAGTGAATCCTGAAGTCAGTTAACACATGTAGTGCTTGGGAAGGCTGGAACAGGAAGGCCTCAAGTCGGGGACCACTCTGAACCCAGCACCATGTTGGGGCAGAAACCTTTTCTGCTTGCCGAGGGAACTCGGAGAAATCCCTTCTGACCAATTCCAAACCAGTTCATAAGGTCCCAGGAAGTGACCTGGCATCATGAGGCTATTCCCTGGAGCCCCAGTGCTCTAACAAAGGGAAGGGTCAGTGGTTACTGATTGTTGGGGAAATGCAGGCTGCAGTATTGAGGTCCAGTGGAGCAGTTGGGGCCAGCTCTCCACACTGGAGCCTGGGGTGATAGCTCAGGCAGGACCCCAACCTGACAACTCCATGTGAAAACCAGGAACACCAGGTCACAGAAAGTTAGGCAGTAAGCCAGATAGGCAGCTCCCTGGCTGACTTCCTTTTTGGTACTGGGGGCTAATCCAGTGAAGCTGGACCACATGAGGTCGTAGAAGACCTTGAAGTTTGTATAAGGGGCTAGAGGGCTGAACTGGGATATCAACCTGAGAGTACACAGCCTTCTCCAAGTACCTAAAGGCTACCCAGGGGTCCCTGTCAGGAATACATGGGGCCTGGCCAGCTTCAAGTCCCATCTCTGCTTTCATCTCGTCAGAGAAATGAGAATAGTAGTAATATTTGCAGAACCAGGAACAAGAAGCCAGACTCAGGCAGAGACTGAAGGCTGCTGGGAGGGGAGTTTCCAAAGGCAGGAACATTACTCATCCACCTAATAGTCGGGGCCTTGTTGCTGCAATGGTTCCAAACCCTAGCCGGGTGGCAGTCAGGTGCTACTGGCAGTGACTAGACATGACTCCCAGCATCCAACCCGAGTGAGGGCCTTATATGAGCAGGTCACAGTGGAGCCTATTTTCTAGAAGGGAAAGACTGACTTCTTATACTCTTGACCATCTCCTTCATTCCTTCTCTTGGGCAGGTGGACCCTGTGAGACTACAGCAGTCCATCCGCACAGTTCTCTTCAACCAGTACGTGGTCTCTCTCCCCATAACAGCCTTCCTCTATCCCTTTCTCAAGTGGTGGGGAGACCCCTGCCGCCGAGAGCTACCCACCTTCCACTGGTTCCTCCTGGAGCTGACCATCTTCACCCTGATTGAGGAAGTCATGTTCTACTACTCACACCGGTGAGCATGGTCCCTGCCTGAGCACAGCTGGCTCCTCATCCTCCCTAAGGCTCATTTATAAATGAGGAAACTGAAGCCTCTGAATTGTAGGCATAGGACCAGCACCCCCTGGCCTCAAATGCCTCCCGTTATGTTAGTTAACAGGGAGGCAACTATTTGTCCCACACTGACCACTTGGGACAGTTGAGGAATGCCCAGAAAAGAGCCTTGTCCATTTGTGTGGGAGGCAGGGCAGTCCCTTACCCATTTCCTTATTAAACCCTTTCTGGGCACCATTTCCATTTTACAGCAAATACAACTGAGGTAGATTGGCCAAGTAACCCCAAATTATGCAGCCTAAAAAGTGGGCCTGGGACTTCAAGGCAGGTCTGAGCAGTATGGTTTTTCATGGTATGGCAGGGAGGTGGGGGACTGGCAGATTAACTCTCTTCCGTCCATGTTCCAGGCTCCTTCACTACCCAGCATTCTACAAGAAAATCCACAAGAAACACCACGAGTGGACAGCTCCCATTGGTGTGATAGCTCTCTATGCCCACCCTATAGAGCATGTGGTGAGGAGCACTCCACTCTCCCCAAAGGCAAAGGGCAGAGGACTCCAATCACTTTCCCTCTTCCCATTAAACAATTACCATTTCTTGCTGACATACCATATGCGAGGTGCCAGGTTATCTCATTTAATCATCCCAGCAACCTTTTAAATGTTTATTATGTTAATGGAAAGTTGAGGCTAGTACAGTTAAGAATTTGTTCAAAGTTAGAGCTAAACAAGTCTCCAGCAAATGTCCTGAAACTCTCGGGTTCTCCAGATCTGTATCAAGGAAGTCTTGCTGGTACCACTCTGGGACAAAGTGGACACCCAGCTGGGTCCCCTCCATCTCCCTGTGCCCTGCCTTCAATCATCCCTCCCCTTGCAGGCCTCCAACATGCTGCCAGCAATGTTAGGTCCCTTATTAATGGGCTCCCACTTGTCATCCATCACCATGTGGATCTCCTTGGTCCTCATCATCACCACCATCTCCCACTGTGGCTACCACCTACCTTTCCTGCCTTCACCTGAATTCCATGACTACCACCATCTTACGTAAGGCTCCCCTCCCCATAGTGGGTACCTGGGCAATAACTACCACCCTCATTCCTGGAGCTTCTGATGGCAGATACTAGGGGGTGCTAGTGAGGGAGGGGACGTCTGCAGGCGAGAGAAATAATCACACTGGGGCCAGACCATCTTGCCTTTCTCCCTGTTTCTGACACCGGGTCCTCCTGGAACTGGGTTTTATTAACATTTTGAGTTCTGGGCCCTTTGAGTATCTAACGTAAACTATGGTTCACTCTCTTCTGAAAAATGCATATATCCGTAAAAACTTTGTATGCACTTCAAGTGGAATTATGCACTCTGAGAGCCCCCAGGTTTTTTCAGGTGCGGTCAATGATTGTCCTGCACCAGAATCACCTGGGATGCTTGTTTAAAATGCAGGCTCCAAGAATCTGGAGGGTGGGACCTGGAAGTCAGCAACTCAATCAGTGTTCCAGGATGATACAGGAACAAGCGTAGCTCTGCCAGGGGTTCTCCAATGTGTGTGCATCAGAATCACCTGGGAAATGTTTCAGAGGAAGACTCCAGACTTAGCAGGTCTGGTGTAGCCCCAGAAGTAAACACTTTTAATAGGTCCCCAGGTTATTCTAATACACGTGGTCAGGGTGGTGGAGAGGTGTGGGGTACAATGGCTTAGAAAATGCATGAGCGGCCCCGCAAATGAAATGGAGGTCAGTATGCGGACTTCCAGCACCAGGACTGTAGCACCTTCCTCTCTCCACCAGGTTCACCCAGTGCTATGGGGTGCTGGGAGTGCTGGACCACCTCCACGGGACTGACACCGTGTTTAAGCAGTCCAAGGCATATAAGAGACACGTCCTCCTGCTGGGCTTCACCCCACTCTCTCAGAGCATCCCCGACTCACCGAAGGAGTGAGGGGGGCCCGAGTGCCGTCCTTGCTGTCTCCTCAGCAGTGGACTGCTGAAGTGGCCTGGGTCCTAATGATCACACCTGACAACTTACTTCCTGTAGCCATGCACTCTAACAATGGCATCATGAGTATCCCCAGGGCAGGGGCAGTGCCAGCTTCCTGGAAAAGTAGGGCCAAAGATGAGGCCAGGGCTTCCCTAAACTACTGCCCCTGATATTCCTTTAGGAGATCAGGAATTCACTTAGGGAAGACGGAAAAACAGTTCGCTAGACTGGAGACCAGCCAGAGGGAGGAAACCACTTCCAGGGCTCCTGGCATGCCCCAACCCCCACCCTGGACTGCTGCTGTAGAAGGAGAGAAGTTCCACCCTAGACGGCTCCTTGTGGCCTAGAGACAGAGTGACAATGGTGGGGGGAAAACAGGATAATGCTTTGCTACTTCTCATACCAAAAAGCTTTTCTCATCCCCTACTCAAGGCCAGGGCACCCCGGCAGATAGTTTCAGGTAGTCCCAGTTCTTAACATTCCAGTCCCCATGGCCCCCAAACACACAGTCAGTGAAGAAGGCTCCACTGCAACTCTGCTCACCACAAACTTCTTCCATCTCTGAAAAGAAAAATACCAATCACAAGAGCTCCTCCCAGGATTAAAACAAACACAAAAGAGGCGCAGACCAAACCTCAACTTCAGCTCTACAAGGAAAGGAAAGGCTAAGCCCTGAGGGCCCTGCTAAACTGGCGTCCTTTTACATACAAAGGGGTCAGAGTTGCTGGCCTTTGGGGACACCCAACCCAGGCCTCCTTGTTGGCCTCCCTGAAGCAGGGCCATAGAGGTTACAGCCCTCCTTCTCCCACAACGAGCCCAGAAGGCAAAATCCTCACACCCCCTCCCTTGCCCCCCATCCCCCTCCAGAGGTTAACCAGTTGTCTCACCTGCATTTGTTGATTTTTCACAGTGGTACCTTTTTCAAATGAAATCTTACCTGGAACCTCAATATATGAAACCACCACAGAGCTACTCTGGCTGAAACAGACCCCATTCTGATCTTTGCTCTGAAGCCACTGACACTACTAGGAACCCTGTGGCTCCCAAGAGCAGTTTGATTTGAAAGAGCACCAACATCAACCACTATTTAAGAACTTTTCATTCCTTTCTGCCAAGAAAACCATCCACTATTTTGAATGTTTCAACTCTGATAAGGCTAAGTCTCCAGGCAGAACTATCAAAAAGGAGTTCCTCCTTAATGGACCTAGGATCCTGGAGGACCTGCCCAGTTGGCCAGCATCTCTCCTGGGCCTTCCAAAGCTCTGCCTGCACACCTCTGGCCATGGTGGACCCAGGCGTCCTCCCCAGGACAGCTGGTGCCCTGAGCTCTTGGTTCTCACAACTGTAGGCCTGCTTATATTACTTGTTCCAATAAATAAACACTTGGAAAAAAAAGTAATTCTTTGGTATATTTAAGGAGAAGGGCAGGGAATGAGTAAAGAGTGGATAAGGAAGAAGGAAAAGTGGAGGACACCTTGACAGGGGCAGTGGAACCTGACCCTATCAGATGATAGCCCTGAGGTGGGTAAACAAGTAAGAGGAAAAGGCTGAGACTTTGAAATTCCCAGCAGAAAATGTGAATGTGAAAAGAGTAACCATGTAAAATAGTCTCCTTTTAACACCAGTAGATATTGTGGGTTTTTTTTCTCTCCTTATGACTCATTCCAAGCTCAAGAATATATGACATCTGACCAATCAGTGCCTTCTTTATGAGCATTCCTAACAGGTGTGGAAGTGAAGTTGAATTTACTCATGTCTTCTGCTCCCAAAGTACCAATCGATTTACAGTCAGTCTACAGGAGCCCTGGACACTATTTCCTTTGGCCTGTGGATGCCATTGGTAGTGCTGAAGTACCTGCGCACCTGAAGGACAGTGGAAAATACTCCCTTGAAAATCATTTCTAACGGGATGTTCAGGTGCTGGCCATAGGAGACAAACAGTTGTCAGATGAATGAGTAAGTAAGGCCATGCCTCATTTTAAAGTTTGTAATTACACATCCAGGCCAGAAAGTAAACCTGGATGCGAACATTCAGAACGTGTTCCTACTGCCAGCACCTGGGCTCCTGGGTGAGAGGAAGCCACCAAGAGGCTCAGGGACCATCATGTGGTGGGGGCTCATTGTCCCACCCCGCCCTAGCTTCCTCTCTCAGGGCTCAGTGCTGACCTGGATTCCCTAAGACCACAATAGGAGCGTTCAACTGTTACTCCTTCATACCCTGCAGGAAAATCTGTTTAGTTAGGGGCTGTACCAACCCTCAGTGAGGAACTGGAAGCACCCTTTCTCTTCCTGGCTCCTAATGCAAAGGCAGATAACTTGAGAGCAGGCAAGTGGACGGAAACCCTGAAATTCCATCTTTAGGATGCTTTGTCTGTCCCTTTTGCAGGGTTGTAGCTCTCGCTTCTCACAAGACACACTGTGAATGGGAATTTAAGGCTGGTAGAAGCCCTAACAACCACTAAGGAAGCCACCTGGATGCACCAGCAGCCTTAACAGCTCTGTAAGGAGCTCCTGGCCTTAGACTCCCAAAAAGCACAATGGCAGAGCCTCTGCCAAGTGCTTCATTTTACATCCAGGGCAGGGTACTTGTCGGCACTCTAAGTCCTCTGGATCTGGAGAAACCCTTGCTGGGTTTCATCCTCACACCCAACAGCTGCAACCCAGATGGGAGACAAGCCAGTATTTTGCCTTTTCAAGTTTTTATTTTTATACATTTTTTTTGTATTAAAAAGAAAAGCATAATTACCACAAATTACAAAGGACTAAAGCAGGACTAGAATAATGAATGAATCACTTCAGCCTGGAAAGCAGATACTCTCAATAATATTAATGTTATAATACAAGCTCATTCAAGTATTTTACATGTTTTTTCTTTTTCTTTTTTTTTTGTCCTTTTAAATGTGATATTCTAGCACATGGTAAAGATAATGTACTATGAGCGTAAGGTGGAACCTTCTCTGCAAAGCCAGATGACAAGTTTTCCTCTCCAGTGAGAAACGGGCTCTAAGTTCTTCTCTGCCTCTGCCATCAACATGGGCCAAAAGAGGAGAGCGTGGGGGCTGGGGCAAAGCCAGGGACCCCTGCACACAGAAGATACTCTGGGTCCTGTTCAGGAGGCGGCCAGATGATCCACGCCACTCTACCCAGGCTTTTGGCAAGCTTCCCCCCAACCCTCCCTAAGCCATCTTCCTTGCCCCTCTTCCCCACTTCCAGGGCCTTCTGAGCAGCTTAATTTCTTTCTGTCATAAAATCAAGGAAAAAGGGAAAAAAGAGCTACAATGGAACAAAACAAAAACAAAACAACTTTGACATCGGGGCTCAGCACCACAATCTGAGCCCCAGGGGTTCAGGCTGAGGCAGGGCTGTGTGGCCCTTCTGTACTGGTAGTGCATTTGCTCCCAGTTCAGGGGAGGGTGAAAGAGAAAACCTGTCCCTTACGAGGGTGAGACACATAGACCTTCTGGTGTCTAATACCGACAAGTCATGTTGGCATGGACCAACCTTGGAAAGGTGGAGGATGAACAAAGGGGTTTGGGGCAAGGTGTTCGCTTTGTGTTTCAGGTCTTGGATCCCCAAGGGAGGATGGTGGGTGTGAAGTGGCTAGTCCTGATGGCCCTGCCACTCCTGGCATGCTTGTCACAGATAAATCGGTCCTAAATTCAAGTGTCTTCAGAAAGTGAAGATGTAAACTACTCTTTGCAACATTAACTCCTAACATGTTACAAAAACAAAAAGTCCTCCCCCCCTCTAATCCTCAGCCTATGCTGAGATGAAGTCCTCACCTCACCACCCCAAAGGGGCTTCCTCTTTCTGGGGTGTCTGTGGGGAGGATCAGGAAGAGGATGGCAGCCCCTGGCCTGGGAATAAACTCTAGATAACAGCAGCCTTTTCCCACCTCCAAGGTTTTCTTGTGCTCCCAAACCCAGCAGAGAATAAGCACTGAGGTTTCTGTGGTGCCGGATACAGTACAGGGCTGAGTGACCTGAAGGAAAGAAAGAGGGAATGAGGGGAAGGAGGAGGGAGGTCCAAGAGTCTAATGTCTGGTACAATGTGGGAAAGGCCTTCAATCCTAGCAGAGACGAGACACTCACCTAACATCCTTGGCTTTCGAGAGCACTGCGTCAGAGATGAAACAGGCTTCCCACATACCAACCACTGGAAAGGCAGGTGCCGGCTAAAAGGAATGAAGTGCCCAAGACAGGGCAAGCCTGGGATACTGTCCCCTACTCCCAACCTTTGGGCCCAACAAAGGAACCAACTGAGAAAAAGGGCCAAGGAAGTTCCAGCAATTGAGTGAGCAACAAGACCATAAACTCCTCTCCTGTTGCCCAGTTCCCACTGGGGGTGAACAGGCAGTCATGCCCTTACCCAGCACACATCCCAAAGTCTGTGTGGGTCAGTCCTTTGTCACCCTCCCTAGCTTCTGATGACAGTAGACTCCAGCCATTCCACTGTCATTCACAACCCCAGCAGTTAGTGGCTGGAGAAGAGAAGTCAGGTATACTCTATGTCCACATATACCTTCCTGCCACAGGGCTTCAGCCACTGGCAGGGTTCCCCCCAGCCCCCAACTCCTCCTCATCCCTTGTTCCCAAGCAGGGTCAACCGGAGGGTGGGCAGAGATAGCCTGCAGAGGGGGGATGCAAGCTGGGAAGACCCCACCAGACCTGAGGGAGGAGAAGTGGCATCTTTCTCCACCTTTTACAAGGAACAAAGTCTCCTTGAGGTCTCAGAGAACTTCCAGGCCAATACAAGAAACACTGCCAAGCCTCAGCTACCAGGCGTTCCGTTTTCCCCTCTGGGGTGGAGGAGGCGTTCAAGCTGAGGTCAAGAGTGTTCCAAATCCAGGCCAACTCTGTTCTCCAACAGTCTGAAGCAAACTTGGCCTTTGGGTTCCAAGGGTAGGATGAGAAGTGTCACGGCAGGATGGGGCCTGGCATGAGACAACAGCAAGCAGAGCGAGGACACGACAGAGGCAGCAGTGTACAGACACAGGACGTCAGCTTCAAACGATGCAACAGCAGGGATATTATGGGCACAGCTCTGACAGGAGCTGCCCCCAACTCTCTTGCCTCCAGTCAGGAGGCATGGTACATGCAACTCAGTCCAGAGAAAGATTCTATCCAATCTAAGCCCAGGCACATCCAGAGAAGGTGGGAGCTCTTCAGGTTGACTCCATCGAGGAAAACAGGCATTTGGATATTTCAGATTCCCACTCCACAATAAGGCAACTTTTAAAAAAATATTATATCCAAGAACAAAAAAAAAAAAAAAAAAAACCTAAGGGTAGAGGAAAGACATCACTTTTCAGTGGATTAGGTGGGGGGTTTTCTGGAAAACTTTTTCTTTTTTTTTTGGTCTTTTACAGTCGATTTTGTCTTTTTTTTTTTTTTTTTTTTCCTTTTTTCCAAGGATGGAAAGGTCAGAGAAAAATAAAATAAATCATCTTTCAATAGTCTTTTCTGGTATGAGCAGCGTCTCTCTGGGCTGGGAAGTAAGGGCATGGGGAAGAGGGGAGCGGGGAGAGGCTGAAACCTTCCCTCAAACCCCACTTTTCAATCCTTTGGTTTCCTTCTCCCAGAAGACAGCAGAAGGGTGTGGTCGGGACAGCAGGCAGAGAACACGGTGATGGCAAGCCCTAGATGACCAAAGGGTTAGTGCTCCTGGGGCCCAGGGGTGCTGCCAGAGCCTTCCATGGGACAGTGCTGGGCAACGGGGCACACGATGCCTTCTTGTTGGGCTGCATAGCTGGCCTGAAGGGGAGCAGGAAGAGGCTGTGGGTGGGGACCAGGGGTGCGGCCTACCAGCCACAGGCAGGCTACAGAGTGATTTTGGTAATCCAGACGAACTATCAATAATTTAAAACTTGATATATATATATATAGATATATATATATATAAAAAAAAAAATCTCCCCCCTTTCCCACTCCCTCTTAGAAGAAGCTAGGATATGAAGAGTCATGGAGAGAGGGGGGAGTGGGGAGGAGTATGTGGAGGCTCCTGCCCAAAAAGGTACCTCTGACAGCCCAAATGGTATTCATGCCACTACTCAGCACGAGCGCCTGTCCCAATAACTCCAGGCCTATCCCTTTTAAGTCCCCTCTCCTGGGACTGGGCACCCCCATGGCCTCTTGCCCAACCTACCCCCTTCCTGCCCAACCCCAGGGCTAAAGGGCCTTTCACTTTCCCAAAGTCTGTATGTCCGAGTGCTGGCTTGTCCATTTGGCATCTTCCCGGATGGACTGGCCGGAGGGGGGCGTGAGGGGTTGGCTGTTCATGGTGGTGGGCCTGCTGGAAGACTGGGAAGGGCACCTCTTTCTGCTCTCACCGCCGCCACCTCCTGCTGCCACTGGGTGTCGCTTGTGGTTGCCCTCCTCACCCATTGGGGGCTGCAACAGAGAAGGGTGTCAGAGGTGATTAGTGGGTACACTACCTATACCCACTGTGTGCCACGACTGACCATCGAGAAACCACCCACTTCCTACTTCCAATGTAGCTTCCAATGTAGACAATGAACAGATTTAGCCTTAAAAACCAGTTACCAGTTACACTTACAAAGCACTTCTCCATGCAAAGCACTGTGCTATTTTATGCACATTCTCTCACAAGGTCCACATCACCCTTTGATGTAGACATGATCGTTCCATTTTACGAATGAATAAACTAAAGCATAGAAAAAGAGATTTGTCCAGGGTCCCATAGCTGGTAATAAATGAAGATAGAATTTGGACCAGGCCCTTCTACCTCTGAAGCCAAGGCTTTATCAACACACGTTTCTGCTCCCCTTCTGAGAACGGATAGGCTGGCTCAAAAACAAAAACCCAAACCCGTTGCCATCGAGTTGATTCCGACTCACAGCGACCCTACAGGACAGAGTAGAACTGCTCCATAGGATTTCCAAGGAGCGCCTGGTGGATTCAAACTGCCAACCTTTTGGTTAGTAGCTGAAATCTTAACCACTGCACCATCAGGGCTCCAGGTTGGCTAAGGAGATGTTAAACGTGGAATACAATATGCCGAGATGCCTCAAGCCCAGAAGGCCCAGATGCTCCTAGGGAGCACCTCATTCCCCTCAAGGCCCTAAAGACTGCACTGAACTAAGAGTCAGATACCAAAGCTGAGCATTTCCCGCCCCACATCTGTATCTTCCATCTGTATCTTCCCCCAATCCCTAAGGCTGGAAGTGCTCAGGATGGAAGAAAACAGACTCAACTTCATACTGAGACCTGACTGGCTCTGTCACTATCTTATTTGGTGGCCACAGTCCTCAGTTTACCCATCTGTGTGTACAATGTTAATACTAATAAACCGTGTTGACTTCACATTATAAGGGTTAAATGACGTCAGTATGAAGTGCCTAGCACAGAGCCTGGCACCTAGTAAACATTCAATAAATGGCAGCTTTTAAAAATAAATGTGAAGGACTTATTTCTTGCTTTACTGCTAAGAGGTTTGAAGGGAATAATGACTGGCATATCCCTACTACATCATAAACTCCCTGAAGGAGTAAGTCTTTCACTCATCTCTGGGGCCCCTGAAGCACCAAGGACAGAGATGTCTAATCAGTATCTGCTGAATCAATTGAACAAATAACTCCAACCATCACTTCCCTAGATATATGCAGTAGTGATAACCCAGATCCACCGCTAGATGTCATTGTTGAGGCATTGTTCCAAGAATGAAGGACAATCAGACATCAATTCATAAACCTCTGTGGTTGGAACTGGCCTCCATCTCCCAGGAAGAGCAAATACATTTTATCTCAGGTGGCCATCCTGATCAACTAGTAGGGGCTAAATGGGGCACAGCAGCAAGGAGGATTGTGAGGTAAGAGGAAAAGAGCATTACGATGGTTTAGCCACATATACCATGAGAAAGAAGGGGAGGGAAGAGCAAGTATACAGGCCCCTCTAATTAGTCCTCACTGTCCATTCTTACCCTCCATTTGACAGATAAAAAAAACAAGGCTGAAATGGGGGAAGTGTCCCTGCGTTTGTGGCAGAGCTGGGACCAGACCCAGGTATCCTGACTTCTGGTCCAGTTTTCTTTTTCAGGACAACTAGAGTGACAAAGATGTTCACTTACATCTACTCGGAAGTCTTCAAGACGTCGGAATTTGCCGAGGTATTCTTGCAATTTGGGGTCAATGTCCAAATTTTTGGCTTTGGAATATTTCAGGAAGGCCCAGAACTTCTCCAGCCCATAGAGTTGGCCTGTAGAGAAAGAGGAGAAAAAGTAAAGAGGAGCTGGGCTGGTGAGGAGAAGATGAGGAGAAAGAGGCTCAGAAGAGAGGGAGGAGTGATGTGACAGATCCAGGTCAAACTGGGCAGGGAGGGTGGAAAGAGGTCTAGATGACTGAGGCTCGCAGAGATGCAACTCTGGCTCTCACCAGCTTCGTAGTCCTTCACGGTTTCCTCCTGAAAATCCTTGAATATGTCCAAGCGGAACTTCTTTTCCAGGCCATAACTGTAGTATCGAAAAAGGCACTCCAAACCATATCTGTAGGAGAACATAAGTCAGCAAAATCAGGATGTAGTTTCTTCATCTGTGAAATGGGGAAATAAATATGCCTGCATAACAGATGAGCTGTGAAGCAGTTTACACACCATGGGCTATTCCTGGAAAGTGTATCAAAACATTCCAAAGTAACAAATATTCTTTAAGAAGGGCTAACACTTAATGCTGGTCTAAGTGGGTCCAACATGAAATCGCTTGCTAGAGGTCAGAAAGCTGGCCCATCAAACTCCAGCCTACCACCCATACCCATTTATTTACTCCCACTTGTTTACATATATTGTCTCTAACTGCTTTCTGCTACAAAAGTGGACGAATTACAACAGAGATCTTATGGTACACAAAGCCTAAAATATTTATGATCTGGCCCTTTAGAAAAGTTTGCCAATCCTTGGTATATTCATGTATCTGACTCAGAAATTTCACTTCCAGGATTGTATGTTAAGTCCTAGAAATGATAAAAAGTGCAGATTTAGATTTTATAAATGTACAGAGATACCTAGAGCAGCATTACTCAACAAAATCTAAATGTCTTAGAGAAGCAGTTAAGAAAAACCATGGTGGTCTCGGGGAACATCTAGCTCAATTGGCATAACAGTTTATAAAGACAATGTCCTACATTCTACCTTGGTGAGTAGTGTCTGGGGTCTTGGGAGCCTGTGAGCAGCCATCTAAGATACTCCACTAGTCTCGTCCCTTCGGGTGCAAGGGAGAATGAAGAGAACAGGATACAAGGAAAAGATGAGCCCGAAGGACTAATGGTCCACAGCTACCAAAGCCTCCGCCGGACTGAGTCCAGTACAGCTAGATGGTGCCCGGCTACCACCACTGACTGCTCTGACCAGGATCACAACAGAGGGTTCTGGACAGAGCTGGAGAAGGATGTAGAACATAATTCTAACTCACAAAAAAAAAAGACCAGATTTACTGGCCTAAAGGAGACTGGAGAAACCCCGAGTATGGCCCCCAGACACCCTTTTAGCTCAGTGGTGAAGTCATTTCCGAAGTTCACCGTTCAGCCGGGGAGTGGACAGCCCCATAAAACCAAATGGGACTAATGAGGCACAGTAGTCCAGGGACAAGGGCCAGAAGGCAGAAGGGGACAGGAAAGCTGGTGATAGGGAACCTAAGATTGAGTGAGGATAGTGCTGATGTGTTGTGAAGTTGTTAACCATTGTCATAGGGCAACATATGCACTAACTGTTAAGTGAGAAACTATTTTGTTCTGAAAGCCTTCATCTAAAGTGAGAATAGCAGCACAACTGGAAGAGCGTAGTCGATGTCACTGAACTGTGCATGTAGAAATTTTTGAAATGGTGTATGTTTGGCTATGTGTATTTTCACCAAAAAAAAAAAGGTTGAGAAGTTAGAGGGTTGCAATGTTGTGTGGTTGTTAACCAATGTCATAAAACAATATGTGTACTACTATTTCATGAGAAACTATTTGTTCTGTAAGCCTTCACCTGAAGTACAATTAATAAAAAAACAAAAAACTTAAATTAAAAAAAAAAAGAAAAACCATGGTAAATCCATACAATGGAATAATATCAGTATTGGAAAATTATAAATGTATACTTATGGATCCTAAAAGATGCTTACATAATCAAGTGGAAAAGACATGCACTAAAACACAGTGTCATATGTAGAATGATCCCATTTTGAAAAACCCAAACCAAACCTGCTGCGGTTCAGTGGATTCCGACTCTAAATTTTACATCTGTATATGCACACAGTCCGGAAGGGAACACACTCAAATACACTGACACTGGTTATCTTGGGGAGATGATGTTGAGTTGGTCTTGCAACGAACAGACGGGGAAGAAGCTTGATGCAGAACATTAACAGTGGCAGTCTCTGAACTGACGGACATCATACCCCCACCCCAGCTTCTTTAAATGTTTCTGTGTTTTTTAAATAAGTCAGAGAGAACACATTTTACTTTGAAAATCAGGGGAGAAAAAGCAGCGGGAGTCTTATAAGTTTTTCAATAGCAACATATTGGAACCAACCTAAGAATTTTTTTTTTTAAATTGTGCTTTAGATGAAGGTTTACGGAGCAAATTAGTTTCTCAGTAAACAATTAATACACATACTGTTTTGTGACATGGGTTGCCAACCCCATGTCGTGTCAACACTCTCCCCTTCTCGACCCGGGATTCCCCATTACCAGTTTTCCTGTTCTCTCCTGCCTTCTCGTCCTTGCCCCTGGGCTGCTGTGCCCATTTAGCTTCCTTTTGTTTTATGGGCCTGTCTAATCTTTGGCTGAAGCGTGAACTTCTGGAGTGATTTTGGTACTGAGTTAAAAGGGTGTCCAAGGGCCATGCTCTAAGGGTTTCTCCAGTTTCTGTCAGACCAGTAAGTCTGGTCTTTTTTTTGAGTTAAGAATTTTTTTCTATATTTTTCTCCAGCTCTGTCTGGGACCCTCTACTGCGATCCCTGTCAGAGCAGTCGGTGGTGGTAGCTGGCCACCATCTGGTTATGCTGGACTCAGTCTGGAAGAGGTTGTAGTAACTGTGGTCCTTTAGTCCTTCAGACTGATCTTTACCTTGTGTCTTTCGTTTTCTTCATTCTCCCTTGCTCCAGACGGGGTGGGACAGTGGAGTATCTTAGATGGCTGCTCACAAGCTTTTAAGACCCCAGAGGCTACTCACCAAAGTAGAATGTAGAATGTTTTCTTTATAAACTATGTTATGCCAATTGAGCTAGATGTTCCCGGAAACCATGGACCTCAGCTGAGTAATTCAGTCCCTTACGGAGTTTGGATGTGTCTATGAAGCTTCCATGACCTTGCCTTGGTCAAGTTGTGCTGACTTCCCCAGTACTATGTACTGTCTTACCCTTCACCAAAGTTACAACTCATCTATTGTCTAGTTCTAAGAATCTATTAATAGGAGATTGGTTAAGTAAATTATCCACACAGTGTCATACCATGCAGGATATAAAAAAGAACAAGGAACAAAACAAACAAATGACCCAATTAAAAACCAGGCAAAGGATCTGAATAGACATTTCTCCAAAGAAAATATACAAACGGCCAATAAGCACATGAAAAGATGTTCAACATCATTAGTCATTAAGGAAATGCAAATCAAAACCACAATAAGGTACCACTTCACACCTACTAGGATGGTTATCAACAAAAAAAAGGAAAACAAGCCTTGCCAAGGATGTAGAGAAATTGGAACCCTTGTGTATTGCTTGTGCGAATGTAAAATGGTACAGCTGCTGCGAAAAAGAGTTTGGTGGTTCCTTAAAAACCACAGAATTACTTTATGACTCAACAATTCCACTCCTAGATATATTCCCAAAACAAATGAAAGCAGGGACTCAAACAGATACATGTACACCAGTGTTCACAGCAGCATTATTCACAAGAGCCAAAAGGTGGAAACAATCCTATGGATGAACTGATAAACAAAATGTGGTATATACATACAGTGGAATATCGTTCAACCATAAAAAGGAATCAAGTTTGTTACATGCTATGACATGGATGAACCTTGAGAACAACATGCCAAGTGAAATAAGGCAGATGCAAAAGGACAAATATTATTACATGATTCTACTTATCTGAAGTGTTTAGAATAGGTAAATTCAGTGACAGAAAGTAGAACAGAGGTTACCAGGGACTACGATAAGGAGAGTTATTGTTTAATGGTATAGTGTTTCTGTTTGGGATGGTAGAAAAGATCTGGAAATAGAAGTAGTGATGGTTACACAACACTGTGAATGTACCCAACACCACTGAACTGTATACTCAAAAATGGTTAAAATGATAAATTTTATGTTATGTATATTTTACCACAACAAAAGAACAAGGAAGTTACTCATGTACAAATAGGGAATGATCTCCAAAATACATACAGCAATAAGAAAAAAAGAGCAAAATGCAAAAAAGAGTACATAATGTAGGCTATCTCTTGTGTAGAAAAAAGCGGGTAGGGTGTGGGAGACCACACAGATATGTATTTGTTTATATAGGCATAAAGAATTTTTAGAAAGGACCCACAAGAATCTAACAATACTGGTCGCCTTTGGGAAAAGGAACTAGACGGCAGGGGGAAAGGGATGAGAAGACCTTTTATTATATAACCTTTTAAACTCTTTGAATTTTGCACCATGTGAATATATTACTCATTCAAAAATATTAAAATTTTAATAAAGTATATACACATGCAAGCGATTTCCAACTACAGTTCTGGAAGCAGACTCACCAGCACCAGTCAGAGCCTCCCACCCCAACCTGCTCACCTGTAGCCTTCTTTAGCATCCTCCAGAGCCAGCTGCTTGAACTCCTCATACATCTTTTTGTTGAAGTGATCTCGGAGGAAGAAGGACCAGAAGCGGAAGAGAGTGTTCATCTCCTGAGATTGGCCAATGCCCAAGCGTTTCCGCTCTGATGGGGGAGAAAGGAAAAAAAAGACACTCTATGTCTCAGAGCCAGGCTGCCTTTGCTTCGGGGATGAGAATCCTGGAGCCTAAGGCCTTGTTCCCTTCTCGTACACCTCCAAATTCCCTTGGTTTATCACCTGCCCCTTCAGTCATTCAGCAGTTATTTATGGAACACTATGTCAGGAGTCCCTGGGTGGCACAAATGGTTAAGCACTTGACCATTAGCCAAAAGGTTGGCAGCTCAAACTCACCCAAAGGCACCTTGGAAAACAGGCCTGGTGATCTGTTTCTGGAAGGTCACAGCCTTGAAAACCCTATGGAGCAGTTCTACTTTGCACACACTGGGTCGCCATGAGTCAGAATCATCTCCATGCCAATGAACAAACAACTCTATGTCAGGCCCTGCTGCTAGGCACAGGGCCTGGGCTTCGCCAGGAGCAGGTGGCATGAGCTTCTGACACAGGTTATCCTGGCCTAACTCTTCACCTCAACCGGAACTGCTCTCACATGTAGTTAGAACACGGCAATGTGTGAATAATTTGTACATTCTAACAAATTACATTCTGTTTATTACCAAATTATTTCAGAAGTCCTACAATATTAACAAGTATAAGATGACAATATTAAAAATATAACACACAATACCAAAAGCACAAGCAACAAAAGAAAAACACAGATACACTGGATATCATCAAAATTAAAAACTTTTGTGCTTCAAAGGACATCATCAAGAAAGTGAAAAGACAACTCACATAATCGGAGGAAATATTTGCAAATCATATATCTGATAAAGGACTTGTATCTAGAATAAAGAAAGAACCCATACAACCAATAATAAAAAAGACAAATAACCTAGTTAAAAAACAGGCAAAGGATATGAATAAACCGTTCTCCAAAGAAGATATACAAATGGCCAGAAAGTACATGAAAAGATGCTCATTATCATTAGTCATTAGAAAAATCCAAGTCAAAACCACAATGAAATACCACTTCACACGCACTAGGATGGCTAATAAAAAAGACAGACAATAATAAGTTTTGGCAAGGATGTGAAAAAACTGGGATCCTTAAATATACTGATGATGGGAAGGTTATAGTGCAGCCACTTTAGAAAACATTCTAGCAGTTGCTCAAAAGGTATACACACAATTATCCTAAGACCCAGCAATTCCATTCCTAGGCATATACCCAAGATAAATGAAAACATGTCCACAGAAAAACTTTTACATGAATGTTCATTTTAGTATTATTCAGAATAGCCAAAAATTGGTAACAATCAGTGTTCAAAAACTGATGAATGGATAAATTAAATGCTGCATATCTATGCAATGGAATATTATTCAGCAATAAAAAGAAATGAAGCACTAATACATGCTGTTGTATTTAGTGTTAGCATCATGAACCTTGAAAACATTATGCTAACTAACTGAAAAAGCCAGTCAGAAGATCACATATTATATGATTCTAATCCTATGAATGTCCAGAATAGACAAATCCGTAGAGACAGAAAAAAGTAGATTGGTGGCTTAGGGGCACAGGGTTTCTTTTTGGAGTGATAAAACTCTAAAATTGATTTTGGTGATGAGTTGCACAACTCTGTGAATGTATTAAAAACCATTGAATTAGACACTTTAAATGGATGAACTATGGTATATGAATTATACTGCAACAAAGCTGTTATTTAAAAAGCTACACACCCACAATAAGAAAGAGGGAAATAAGGTAAATGAACCAAGAACTTAACAACCACCTTTTGCCAAATGAAAGGGCTTGGGAGAGTTAATAACTACACACAAGTATAAAAATTGGTTTTGAGCATCTTCAACAACCAAAGCAAGAGGGAGAATATCTACACTTAAAAGGCATCTCACTTCGTGATAAAAGGAAGCAAGTTAAGAGCATCTAGACAGGCTCTTTCCTCACACTATCTTCTAGATCAGGAGCAAGCAAACTTTTTCTGTAAAGGGCCAGAGAGCATTTTAGGCTTTGTTTGCTACATATGGTCTCTGTTACATACACACATACATATAACATACTCTTAAAATAAAAAAAAAATAAAAAAAAAAAGTGTTCTTAGCTTGAAGGCTGTATAAGAACAGGCCACTTGCTGGATTTGGCCCAAAGGCCATAGTTTGCCAACTCCTGTTCTAGAAAATATATGCCTCATGCATACTCTTGTGTGATGGACAGAGGCCCACACTGGACAAGAGCTGAGTCGGCAGTTTTGTCAACTTACAAAAACTCTCACTTAATTGATGTTTCTAATATCAATAGAAGATCAAAGAATAGGAACGCTCTGAGTGCCGGATTCCCTTAGCCTCCTTCCAAAGCCAGTTGGCCTGAGTCTAACTTCAATCTTTTGTGCCATGATGCCATGTCACTCCTTCCTCTGAGGTCAGAGAAAACAGTCACCTGGCTCCACCAGCTCTCATGCTCTGGGAAAAGTAGTGGTCCCAGAGGCTCAGCCCCTCTTCCCGTTTCTTACCGTTAAGGCAGCGCCTACGATACTTATGGTAGACGTGTTGTGTGAAGCCATTTTCCTTTAGCAGCTCATGGGAAGGATGCTGGAACTTGGGCAATGACTGAGGGGTACAGCCATAGCTGCCAACTGCAGGTGTTCCTTCCGAGGGGCTGGAGCTGCAGAGGCCATGAAAGAGACAGTGTCACCAGGTTCCCCAAAACAGCTGACTACAAGTTTAGGAAGGGCTCATCTAGTCTCTTCAATCAACCAAGATCCAGCCTCTCACAGGGCCTTAAACAAAGAGGCTCAGGTACTGTGTTAGGCCCTTAACTTATATCCATGGATCTGATTTAATCTTTGCATCAACCCTAGGAGGGTTTACGAAGGAGGTCACTTGAGGCTCACAGAGATTGGGAGACCTGACCAGGGTCACGGAGCTACTGCATGGCAGAGATCTTTCTGGTGTCCAAACCTGAGCTTTGAACCATTTATTTATCCCTAGGAAATATTTAATGAGTTCTGTGTTTTGTTTTGGTGGCTCAACAGTCAAGCACCAAAACGTTGGCTGTTGGAACCCACCCAGCAGCTCCGTAGGAGAAAAAACTGGCAACTGGCTTCCATAAATATTACAGCCTAGAAAACCCTATGGGGCACTTCTATTCTGCCCTATAGGGTCACTATGAGTCCAAATAGATTAAACAGTACCCAACAAGGCAACATTCAACTTTCATTTTAATGAGCCATTAATGGGTCACTCCATCTATATATAGTTTTCTCAAAACCATGCCTATTTTTAATCTCTATCACCTCTGCAGGGCTTCAAAACAGTGAATGCTGGGGCCGTTATACCGAAAATAAATAAAAAGGATCTGAGCCCTACCCCCAGAGACTGAGTTGTAAATTTGGGGCAGGGCCTAGGAATCTGGATTTTTATTCAACTACTAGGCTATCCTGAAGCAAGCAGCAGATACCCACGTTTGGAAATCAACTCTCAGATGTTCTCTCTGTGATGAAGTAAAATCTGGTTCCAGCTGGTTACAACATTTCTTTAGAAAGAAGCCTTCTCCTGCTCAGGCACTGGACTAAACTCTACATACTACTCCTGATTTAAAATTTTTAGGTTAGGGTCCCTTTCTGTTCTCTAATTTATAGACCACGGAGGCTCCTCCTTGGTGTGATCGATGGCATGGCTCACCCATCCCTCTCCCAGCTCAGCTCCCTCCCCCACTGCCCATGGCACCTGATGGAAGCAGTCCGGGGCCTGTGCTCACGAGAATCCATAACCCAGCCCACATGACTCTCCAATGGCGGGTTTGAACTGTGTCTTGTCTTCCTTTTCCGAGGCATCTGCAAAGGCCAGTCCAGAATTTGTCATTAATGGTATCTCCTAACAACTCAGGAGCAACAAGCACTTGGAGGACTAGCATCACAGCATATGTACGTGGTACCTCAAATTTACAAAGTATTTTCACATCCATGCTCTCATGCTAGGAACCTGTATGCCTATTTCACAGATGAGGCTTGGGAGTCAAGTGATTTGCCCAAGGCCTCACACCTGGTCAGTATTCCTTAGGTCTTATCATGGCTACATGGGGCCACCATGCCCACACACACTTCACTTTACAAATGTGGTCGCTCAATTTCAGGTGAGGTCAGCAGCCTAAGAACACAGAGCAGATAGGGAATGTGGCACTTTCTTCGTTCAGACAAGGCAAAAGGAGAGAAGCCAAGCACTGGAATGCAGAGAAGTGGGCCCAAGACTCTTAGCAGCCCAGCAGGAGCTCCTCACCTTGGCATCTATTGTCCGTCCTTCCTTCACCACCGGGTAAAATCGTGATGTCTGGCTTGAGTCTTTGAGCTGCGGTGTGCGGGGTGTCCGGGGAGTCCTGGCATTACGGTAGTTTGGCGACTCTGGGACAGTGGTTGGTAGAGAGCGGGCGATAGTGGAAGGCTCAGGAGCACCAAACAACTTGTTGGCCAGGGCATCAGTGGGAACTACAGAGGCAGAGACGGGTCAGGGGCAGGCCTGTCACCATCCATCCACTTGGAAGGTTCTGGATCCTCCCACCCAGGCCAGGGTCCCAGGTGTCTGCCCCTCACCTTGCTGGAACCGGGGTGGCCCAGGAGGGACTTCCTGGTTGGGATCCACAGGGGGTTCGGGGGTCAGAGTGTCAAACTGCTCCCGGCTGATCATGTTGACTTTCTTGAAGTTCTCAACTTCTTGCTATAGAGGATACGAGAGGGGTGGGGAAAGGTGTTAGTAAGAAGACTGCCCCAGCCTGTTGTGGAATCAGGCCTTACAGGAAGTTGGAGGGGGAGCGCCCACATCCACATACGTGGAATTCTGGTCCCCAGGCTCTCAGCTGCCCCATCACCATTTCTCAATGCCAGTAACCTTGGCACAAGTGTGCTACACCAGAAGAGGTTAGTATTTGCCCCGCCCTCTTTGCAGTGAGGCTGAGATCAGGTTGACACTAGCTCCTCGGGAACTCAATGCAGACTCTCCCCAAGATGCTCCAGAGCCTCCCCAATCTCTTCCTGCCATGGTCTTCTCATGCAGTGGCTGTGCAATAATCTATTCAGCTCCACCAAACACACTGCTACTTATTACACAGGCCAAACACTACCCACCACCAAACATATCCACCTGTGAAAGCCTAGAACAGAGACATCTTGACTGTTTCCAGGCAGCAGCAATTCTGTAAAAGAGCTATCTTTTCTCTATCTTCCCCACTCAAAGCAAGCTCCTTAAAGGCTTTTAAACTTTGATATATGCCTAAATATTTAAGAATAGAAATGATAATCTAACTCATATTGTATTCCGCACAAAAGTGTCATCAACTGCTGGGATCTTAAGTACCACTGCTCAGTGAGACAATAACTCCCCTTACACACGCATAACTTCCTGTAGTTTACAAAGTGCTTATACTTTTCTTCTTTCTCTTATTGCCCCAGCTAGGTGTCAATTATCATTCCCCTTAGGCTCTGGATCAGAGAGACCTGCTGAAGGTCACACATCCAATCAGCCTTCCTCTTCTCCATACATCACAGGCACCACAGGTCCCACACTCACAGGAGACTCACCTTGATCTGGGAATACTCAGGTTCAAACTTCTCAGTCCACAGGTCCTGCTCATAGTAGAAGAGCCCATCGTTAATGACCTTGGCCAGCTCAGCGCTCATCTTGGCACGTGAGGTGTGGTTGCCTGTGCGGTCCCCCCCTGGGTGCCGGCGCATGTAAGGTGGCGTCTGGGTGACAATGAGGATCTTGTTGACGTCCCGGTCGTCAATCTCATAGTCAGAGTCCTCATCAGACCAGGCGGTAAAGGTGTTCTTCCGTCCATCCATCTGCTCCATCTCCTCATCAAACAGAAAATCTAGTTCCTCTTGCTCATCCTGATCCTTGGACATCAGCTGCTGAGAGGGCAGCTGCTGAGGCAGAGAGGTCTGGTGGAGGAACCTGGGCTCCTCTGACTTCTAAAACAGGAACAGATCACGGGGAGAGGAAGTCACTAGGGGGCCCCTGGACCAGGCTCTGGGCTTTTACACAAGAGGGAGGCCACAGCCCCTCAAACATGAGTCTGCCAGAACTGTGACCCTGGTCACAGGTGTCCTCCTTGGAGTCAGCCTGATGGGGAGAGATGTCCCACAGGAGTTCAGGTTCCTCCACTCACAGCTCACAACACAGTCATTCACAAACAATTAGAGGGCAAGTTCCTTACAGGTAGGGGCTGTGACCTTATTTGCCTTTACATCCTGCATGGCATGGAACTAGGCACACGGCAGAAGTTCAATAGGTTGACTCATCCATTTACGCAACATCTCCCAAAAAACTGGAAGCTCCAAGAAGCAAGGACCACAGCTGCTGTGCTTTCTATTATATCCTCAGTACCTAGGCTGGGACCTAGCAACAGCAGACGTTCAACTACCTGATGAATGAGTAAGTATGTACTACTATCAAGCCCTGTATGAAGAACCTAAATACACAACAACGAAGACAAGTTCTCTGTACTTTGGGAGCTCAAAGTTTAGTGGGAGAGAAAATCAACCAACCAGCCAACTGCAATGTGGTACGGTAAAGATATAAATAGGTTTCTGGAGCCATAGAGGCTGGATAAAGCCCCAAGACTACTGTCCTAAGATAATCTTTAAACCTTAAACCAAAAACATCCCTTAAAGTCTTCTCAAGCGTTATTGCTCTTTTAAGATCTATCTATATGGGTTCGAACTGGCAACAGCAACTCCAAAGATTAGACAGGAAATCTTAGGGGGAAGAGAGTTTATGTTAATGGAGAGGAACAACTCAGAAAAGGAGGGTGAAAATGGCTGCACAACTAGAAGAATGTAATGAATGTCAGTGAAATGTGCACGTAAAAACTTGAATTGGTGTATGTTTTTGCTGTGTATATTTTTAACAACAACAAAAAAATAAATTTTAAAAAACAGATAAATCAGAGCATGGGAGCACACAGGGAGGGGCACTTAATCTACTGGAGGGAAGAGACAGTGGTGGTTAGGGAAGGCTTCCTGGAAGAACTATTGAACTATGATCTAAACGATGAGTATAATAAACCAAGGTCATTTCTGAAGCCTCTCACAAGCCCCAGACCAAAGAGGCCTCCAAAGCTTAGGAGGGAAGGGATGGAGATAGGAGAATGAATAAAGAATAAGCCTGTGCTTGGAAAAAAGGCAGTTAATTTTGAGACTGAAACATTTCACTAACATTGGACTCAATCTGTACTATATGTATATTGTGTTATTATTTCTATAGCAGTCTAAGTCCTCTGTTCCATCATTTTAAGACGTGAAGGCTGAGGCTTTGAAATATCAGACAAGCTTTGCAAAGTCACCCAGGAAGTAGTGGGAGAAGACCTGTGTTCTAGTCTAGACTCTAACTCCACCCTCCAGGCCATCCATCTGCTCCCTTTCCCTTCCCTCTTCTGAGGACCCGAGGGGCTTACATAGAGGACAGAAAGGACAAACTCTGGAGGAGATAGTTAAAATGCAGCTATCTAAAACATGAGCACAAGTAAGCCAGGTGATGAGCATGTTAGGCAGAAAGAACAGTATGTGCTAAGATTCAGATGAAGCAAAAAACGGCTTACCATCAAGAAACCTGGGACATTGCTTCTGGAAGCTGCACGATCTCTTCCTGTGAAAAATGCCACTCCAGAACTCACCTGGCTAGGGCACTCTAAGAGATGGTCCCCGTGGAAAACGGAAGTCAAGTCACACCAACCTTCCTGAAGTCACTGGAAACCTGAGCTCACATTATGACCCTGAGCCACCTGGCTTGCCTGCTAGCTCCCCAGAGCCCAGAGCTCTGTGCCCATATGTTATCTCCTCCAAGCACTCCAGGCCAGACTCCTACATGCCACGGCAAGGGGCAGACCATACCCACCTTGGGCCGTGCTGGGGAGGGACGAGGCCTCTTCTTTACTTCAATCCAGTTCTCAGAATCCAGGTCAGGCAGACTGGCAGACAGGCCCTTGGGCAGCGTCTTTAGGTTGCTGACCTCCTCGGTTTTGGTTGGCACTGGAGTGACTGCCCGAGGAGAGCCAGGGGCCGATTCTAAAGGATAGAAAAGTGAGGTCCTCATCCCTCCAGTTCTCCTTCTGACATTAACTCTGAGCAGGACTGTTGGCCAGAGGAAGGGCAACAGGAAAGCACACATCAGCTGGTACCCACCTGTCTCCTTCTGATAGTGCTGGCGAGGAACAAACTCGGGGCAGTTGAGAAGCTGGGAGAAATCGGTTTGTGAATAGTCCACCATTGGGGGACCAGGAAGAGGCCACTTCTCAGGCTCCTCCCTCCTGCGGACCTTCTCATCAACTATCTCCACCACCTTGCTGTCCTTGAGGGCCTGCAGGAAGGGAGAGACGGAAGAAGAGGATGAACTGAGACAGGCTGAGATCTGGGAAGCTGGTAAGAGGGATGACTGGGCCCCACACAAGCCCAGGAATGAGTCTAGTGCTGGAAAAAGTATAAGAAAACTGGCACCATGATCAATCTTCCATGACTGGTAGACACGTGAAATGTTCAAACTTACAGGAGGGGAACAACTGAAAGACACACCTGTCCTCTGACACTACATTTCTACTTCCAGTTATCTGCCCTAGAGAAATACTTGCACAAACAGGTGACGATACGTATAAAATTCAGACAAAAGGCTTTTCAAAGTAATAATGTTTGCAATAGAAAAAAGACCTGGAAACTACCTAACTTGTACACATAGGCAATTCAAATAAACGATGGCCCATCCATTCAATGGAACACTACAGTCACTCATGAAAAATAGCTCTACACGTGTTGAGGTGGAAAGATCCACAAAATACATCATTAAGTGAAAAATGCTGGATATAGGTCAGTGTGCATAAAATCCCTTCTGTGTTTGAATTTTTAAGTAAATACATTCTTACATACATATGTACATAACAATCTTGATCACAGGTTAATTGTTATGGGTGTTTACCACTGGGAAAAAGGGTGAGTAGTGGAGAGGAGGAGTTTTTTAAAAATACCTTCCTATATAGTTTTTTTTTTCCCTCTGATACAGCTGTAAATTTTTTTCAAGCAAAGCATGTTTGCTTTTATTTAAAAAACTTAGAATTTTTATTTTAAATGAAAGAAGCAAACAATTCAACATCTGACATCTGGTGAGGCTGTGGGGAAAGAGGCACTCTCATATACTGTTGGTAAGCAAGCAAAAGATACAACCTCTAACAAAGGGAACTTGGTAATATTTAGCAAAATTATATACACATTTACCTTTCAACCCAGATATCCCACTTCTAGAAATCTAGACCAAAGATATGTTGGCAAAAATATGGCAAAATAGATATACAAGGCTATCATTATAGCACTAATGCAGTTCATATATTAGTAAAAGACTAGAAACAACCAAAATGTCCATCCACAGGGGACTAGCTGAACACACTATGGAGCATCCACACAGTGGTGTACACTATGCAACTGTAAATAGAAATAAGGAATCTTTCTATATACTACTACGCAGCGATCTCTCAGATACAGCAAGTAAAAAAAGTGAAGAGATACATGTATTATATGCTACCATTTATCTAAGAAAGGGGAAGGATACAAAACAAATAATAAATAAAACTCCAGAAGCAACAACCAACCAAGGAGCAGAAAGCACCCCTATAACTCAGATTGTGGCATGTAAATACCACAAATACCACACCCCCCAGACCCCAGTCCCCAAAAGGAACTAGAGTTCCTCAAAAAAAAATAAAAAGGCCAAATTCAGAATTGAGGCAGGAAATGTACAAGATGAACCAGGGTATGGGGTCCCACTGGCCAAAGACGGGACAATTTGATCCAACATATAAACTACAATGGCTTGAAATACATAAAACATGTCTCAAACCATAAGCTTGTAACAATACTAAAACACAATAAAAGCAAACAAATCTTACTGGTCATCTTTGAAGGTTACTAGGGATTCAAATCATAATTCTGAAAACTGGTTAAAAAAGGGAAAAATCAAGCATTTATCCTGCTCTTCCTGTATAAACTATACCTCCTGGTAACTGAATGGTGAATAAAGAAAAATTTCTCTTTAAAGAGGTATTCCAGACAACAAATGTTGACAGATGGACAGAATTAGAATTATCACCGTTTTGCAGTCCCCAATGAAACAGGCAATGATCATCAATGGCAGCATATCACAAGAAGAGAGACAATCAAGCATTAGGCACCACCTCAAAGAACACATCATTATCTAAAAAGTATTCTTCATTAGGGGGAAGGAGGGAAAAAACAACAACAAAAAACCCTGAATCTGATCAGGTGTCTAGATCTACAAAAAATTATGTACTGACATATTCGTGGATGAAATGCTAGGTTATCTGGAATTTCCTTCAAAGTAATATGGCAGGGGGAGGGGAAGGAGATGTGGGTATAGATGAAACGTGATTTGGTCATGAATGGATAATTGCTGAGGCTGGGTGACTGGTTCATTACACTAATCTGTCCACTTTTGTAAATGTCTGAAATTTTCCAGAATAAAATAGAGGAAGAGAAAAAAGGAGGCTGACCAAGCCTTGGGATTTTAGTGTAAGTAATCAGAAGGGGGCTCCTCCAGGGTTTTCTGCCTTTGCCCAAACTCCAGCTCCATAAGTTAAGGACCTTCCTTTCCCCTTCATCCCAGCCCTGAGGAAGCAGACATACCGCAAAGATGAGTGAAATGTCAGTGGTAAGGGCCTGCACTCGGTGGAAGGAAGCAATAAGGGTGATGGGAAGGAAACCGCTGGCATCCATTTTTCGTCGCAGGAAGAAGTCTCGCTCTAAATTGTCCACGCTGAAGTAGTATTCACTAAGTGTAGGGAAGAATAGGCATCACTGAGAGATTCCTGCACCATTTACAAATACACTTTCCCTGTTCTGCTGTGCACCCCCAGTGACTCATACAGCCTCGGACCTACCCACTTCCCCAGTGTACAGTCTTAAGGGCTAAACAGAAATTATGTTACCCTTTCATGGCCCCTTGACCTTGGTTCAAACCATTCTCTTCTTTGTATGTGCCCTTCACTCCTTTGTATGTACAGCAAACTCCTCATCTTTCTTTAAACCCAGTTCAAATGCTGTCAGTCACTTTCTCTTCTGCTCCTAAACACTTATGACACTCCACTGCAATCATTCTCCTTGTATGACTCCCTCACTTGACTGCAGACAATATATCACAGTGGTTAACAGCAGACGTTTTATAATAAGATAGACATGGATTCAAATCTGTGTTTTGTCATTTACTACCTGTGAGACTCTGGGCAATTTACTGGGCCTGTCTGCTTATCTATAAAATGGGGGTAAGAAAAGCTTCACCTCATAGGAATTAAATAGATAAAATGTGTAGGATTAAATATGATAATGCCTGTAAAGCACTTAGCACTGAGCCTGGCCAATAACAAGGACTCAATAAATGCTTGCTGGCAGTTTTAATGGCAGTATAAAAGAAGAAAACATCCACTACCACCATCAAACAGAACCTGAAAGACTATACATGTTAAGATTATTCTACTACAGTGGCAAAAAAAAAGGGGGGGGGGGCAGGGGCGGTGCAACAACGTAATTATAAGCTTCCATCTCTTCATACTAAATATTACCAGTTCTGAGTGGTGGGTTTTAGGCATTTTCCCTTTTTGTTAGGGATAATTTCTAATTTTCTGAAGGTAAATATGGTATTGCTTCTGTAATAAAACACTAACTTTATGAAAACTTAGTTTAAAGGATGAGAGAAAGGTTATCTTTCCCAGTGCCAGCCAGAGGTGGCAATGCTGCTAGTCCCAGAAGGGCTTCTCCAGCTCTGCGCAGCCTAGCTGAAACCCTCTGGCGCTCCGCAGCCCCCATCCATCACCTCTCCAGGAAGAAGGCTCCTGCCCACTCACATCTGGCGCTTGATGTAGTCTTTGAGCAGCTCCTGGTCCACGCTGTAAAGCTCAGTGCTGCTCACATTGTCAAAATAGTAGGTGATGTTGTTCATATACTTGGGGATGCGAGGCCCCTCTGCAGCATCAAACTTTCGGTAGCCAAACTGGTAGTCGAAATGGGCTATGGGGCAAACGGGTGGCCATGAGGAAGAGAAGATCCCTGCCCGCCACTCCCGCTGCACCCCATTGGACATCCCGGAGCCCAAAGGGGCCTCACGTACTTCGAGTGCCACCCCGGCCGCGTCCCCGGCCGCGACCACGCCCCCGTCCACGGCCACGGAAGGAAGCCCGCGCCCCACCAGCCCCATCACTCTTCACACTCGATGTCTCATCCTGGTCATGCCAGGCAGGCTCCGGTTTGGTCTCTGGTTGCCAGGCTGGGGTGGGGGGGGCCACGGGCACGGGCACGTAGGTAGCAGGCTCAGACCCTATGGGGAGAGCGGACACCGGGTGAGGTCTGAGGGTAAACGCATGCGCCCAGGCCCTCCATAGTGGTTGGTGCATACCTTTGATCTCCCCGCGGTTGGCAGGTGTGTGACGAGGATCTGGTGGGCGAGAGGGGCGCGAGGTCAGTTTCTCTCTGGGTGCTTCAGGCTTCATGTCTATTTGCAATGGAACCCATTTGTGTTTGTTCCCTGGGAGACAGCAGGAGCATGTGAGAAAGGCTTGAGGAAGAGGCCCCTCATAGCCATCTTCTCTGCCCTAGGCTTCTGGGGAATCACAACCTGGTGACCCAGGGAAAGCGCCTTCCCCATGCTGGATCTCTTCACTTCTAAAATAAACAGGCTGGTGGACCTCAGTTTTGTGATGCAGACTCCTTGGTGACTCCCAGTATCAATTTCTCCATAGTCAGAGAACCCCCTTCTAGAGCCAGCCACACGGCTGCCCAGAATCAACACTACACTTCCCAGTCTCCCCACAGACAGACGCCAAAGTTCTGCCCATGAGAGCCCAGTGCAAGCAGCCAACACCAGGTTGTGTCCCTAAAAGGAAAGCAGCTGCCCATCCCTGTTCCCCTTCCTGATGGCTAGAATGAGAAAACAGCAAGCCATCTTAGATGATGAAGATCCAAGGACCAACAAGATACAAGAATTACAGAGTTGCCATACTAGCCCTAGCCTACTTACACCAAGCTGTCAGAAGAGAGAAATAAACCTTTATCTTGTTTAAACAACTGTTACTTTGGGTCTCTATTAGAGCAGCTTAACCCATATCCTAACCATTTCAGCAAGTTCTTGGAAACTCCTGTCTTTAAACAAAACCTTACATGGCACACCAATATATGAAGACACAGCAAAGACTACTCTGAAGCATGGGCTTTGTTATCCTGTTCACTGCTATAGCCCTACTGCTTGCTGAGAACAGGGCTAACCAAATGCTTGTCAATAAAGAAAAGAAATGCATGGATGGGTGGCTGAAGTGAAGACTGCTAGCCCAATGGCCTATACCAACTAGCCTCCCACTGGCTTCTCGAGAGTGCATGAAATTCACCAGGCCTCAGAGTTCTGACATTTCACAGTTCTGCCCTGATACTTTCTTCCAAGTCCTGCTCAAAGTTACTTACCTTTCTTCTTCTGCCCTCCTCGTTGACAGTCTTCGTCCCCATTCTTCTCCTCCCCTGATTCATCTGACTTGGTTTTTGGGCTCTCCTTACTATCACTCCCCTCTCCTTTCTCCTGTTCCCTCATGTCCTTCTTGGGTGGTGGCTTACGGGCAGGCTGAGACTTGTGGGGCTGTGGCTGCAGAAAGAAGTAAAGTAACAGGGAGGTAGGACTTGGATGAGAGCCTCTTAGGATGGGAGGAAGGGAGTGCCCTGTCACCAGGACAGGGCAGAAGGAGCAGTAGCATGAGAATGGCAGATTAGACTTGGATATATTCTAAAGTCCTATTTCCATGCCTGAGATGCTTTTACTGGGAAGCCGGGTCAAACAGGCTAGGAAGTGTGAGAAAAGAACTTCTCTCTCCAGCTTCCCAGATTCTGACAGGGACAAACCCCAGCAAAGAGGGGCTGGGACCTACAGGGGCCAAATGTTTACTCCCTACAACAGGACACTGACCAGGCAGTCAGTAGGATGGAACAGATGCTTGCCCATGGCTGTTCACACCAACCCAGGCTTTGAACTGAAGCTGGCCACAGCCAGTTAAGGATCTAGGCCACCAGCCCAAAACAAAAGCATTCAGAGGGAGAGGACTGACCAGGAGTCCCTCCTCTTTCAGGGCCCGGGAAAGCTATTCCTGTTCCTCCTAGCTGAGGAAGAAAGAAGCTTCCAAGACATGTGGCCTGGAGGTGGCTACCTGGCCTAATAACCACTCTCCTGTTTCACCCATAGGCAATGAAATATAGTAATGGAGAAAACAGACTGGAATAATACAACACATCTGACTTCCAATCCCTACTTGCTCATCTACTCTGTATAATCAAGGGATCGTTATTAACCTCTCCGAGCCTCAGTGGTCTCATTTATACACCACAAGTTATCTATCTCAGAGTCACTGTGGGGGTTAAATGAGATGATGAACGGACAGCACCTGACAGTCCCTGACACTGCAAAAGCCAAAATGATGACAATTCTTAGCTATTTTAATGCTGCTCATATTGTAACAACCACTCCTGAAAATACAGAGAAAAGATAAGATCCAAGACTCTGGAAACTTGAGAAGGCCCAAATGTGTATGTAGGTAGATTTCAAATCTGCCCATCCCTCCCCACAGACTCACCTGTACACTCTTGTGGGCTATTTCTCCTGGTGTGGGCCAGTTGATTGCATCTCCAAAGTCACCAACCTGCAAGGCACATTCCATGAGAGTCCTGGGGGTAACCCTGCCTCTGTCATTCAGTCCCTCACCCAAGATCCAGCTCTACTAAGAGATCAGAGGGTAAATCAGTCTGTCTACCAGAACCATCCATACTGGAGGCCCAGAAAGGGCTTTTCTGCTATTCAGAGAGGATCCAGAACTACCTGGCAGCCCAGAGGCATTCACTAGAACAGGAAAGATGCCACTACCTCCAAAAGTCCCCTCAAGCTGCCCACTCCTACTCCTTACCTTGCTGCCTTTGCGCTGTTTAGGAATTGCTGCCCTCACAACCTTGGTTGGGGCAGAAGGTTCTGTGGGAACAAAAAGGGAGAGAGTGGTTATGTTGAGCCCAGGAGGGGAGGGGGCCATTGCCAGCTACTCACTTTCATCCACCCCACCCCCACAACACACTCAAGCAACTTGCAGGTTTTCCAAAGGAGGAAGACATAATGGAGAGGAAAAGGAAGCATGCTCAAACACCAGTAACAACTTCACCATCCTCTTCCTGAAGAAATTGTTGAAAGTGAGAACATGGAAACAGCAGGCAGCAAAAGCCCCAGAAATCCTGACTCTGAGGTAAAAGGGCCCTTTCAGAGTGTGGCTCTGTACCATCTTGTAAAATGGGGACCGAGGCCTGCAGAGGCTAAGTCTGTAGCAGAGTTGGCTTCTGAATCATGGCAGATTTCATAGCCTCTGAAAGAACCTTTCTGGCTCTAACATTCTAGTAGTCTGTGTGTGAGCAGATCAGGGCTAGTGGTCATCGGGAAGGCAATGTAAAAACCCTAAGTGAACAATCAAGAAGTCCAGGGACCTCTCTAAGCCACTAAACCCCAGGGCTAGCTCTGTCCTCTGTGGTTGACCTGTAATCAAGGGAAGGGCTGGCCACTCAGGAAACGCTTGTTTGCCTTCCAAGTTTCCAAAGAAAAAGTGGGCTCCTGTGTGACCCAACAATTCCACCTTTAGAGATTTGTCCTTATGATACAAAATAGACAAGTGTTTAGCGTTATATATAAGAATGCTCACCAAAGTTCTGTTTATAACTTAAAAAAAACTAAATGCCCCACGTGCCTAAGAGTACAGAACTGGCTAAATAAATTAAAATTCATCAATTTTTAAAGACGTCAATAAAACGATAATAATCTCTAATGATATAAAAAGATTAACACAATAAATGAGAAAAGGTTATAAAACGATCCTATTTTGTAAAACAAAATAAAAAAGGTGTATATGTACATATACACAGTAGGAACTATAAAGATATAAGTATTATCAGAAGTTAAGTAGTATGCTTACAATTGTTTTAATTTTCTGTTTGAAATTCTCCAGTAGTTTCTGAAGTTTTAACAATGAAAGACATGGGGCTTTATAAAAAGAAAACAAGCTTTTTGTTTTTTTTTTTTTAAATAAGGAAGATCCAGTCCCTGCTACACCTACACTTGTTTTCCCAACATAGTTCTGAAGACCAAGGGTTTCTTGACCCCTTCCTCCCCCAGAGACACATCGGAAAAGACACACCCTGGGGCTCTGCTCACCCACTTCCCTCCCATCACCTTGCTTCCATTGTTGGGCAGCCACTGCCAGGACAAAGGCTGCCCCAGTCCCTGAGCAGAGAAATTCTCCCACCCAGCTGGCCTCAAAAAGAATGTTCTACTCCTTGATCAGACCCATGATCCCTTAATGAGTAGAGAGTGTCCTTGCCTGACTGTGAAGTCACTGCATTCCTGGCTTCCACATCCTGCCAGGCCCACATCCCCCCTTAATACACCTCACCTACCTTCTGAGAGGTGGAGCTGTGGAACCTGGCCCACAGTATCCCTACCCCTAGTGCTGGGTGTTGGGATAACTAGAAAATTTCCTTCAGTCCCAAGAGGATAAAGCCCATAGGCCTAGGAGGCTACTCTGTCCCCACTGTGCTAATCCTGGGATGGCACAGACAAGCCTAAATGTCACCCTGACCAGGCTAAGGATCTTCACCTGCTTCAACCGAGGACCAGGTAGAGGCACCTTACAAGAAATACGAAATCTCCCTTAATTACACCAGAGCTGTGGACCCACCCTTGAGCCTCTAACAATACTCCATGCTACTAGGAGGAGGGCAGGCCAAGGGATCTGCAACACCAACTTCATTAACAGGAAAATTGGAAAGGGGAATCAGGTTCAGAGGATGAGCTGTTCCTGAAGACCTTCCTGAAAAAGATGAGGCAAAGTTTTTCAGGTGGTCACCTGTTTCTTCTTATGAAAAACACTTTCAAAATTGAGAAGGGCCACACACTGTGATCACCCTGCCTGGCATTTTATTCACCAGGATCACAAAGGGGCATGGCAAAGTACTGAAAGTTCAGGCTCAACACCAATCAATGCAACAACCCTTCTGCCACTAAAAGGCTCCACGGATTCCCTAATCCCTACCAGTCCCAAGCTGAGGGGCATGTGGCTAGTCTGTGCATACAAAGAAGTATTTTTAAACTAGTCCTGTGCAGAGAGGCCCAAGCCAAGTATGTTTAGGAGCTCCATCTCCAGTCAGGGTCCCTAGATGCCCCAAGGATATACAGAGTCCCGTTCCTGCTCTGTTCTCGCTGGGCTTCAGGCTACCTACCACTGGCCTAAGGAAGAGCAAAGTCCTCAAGAGGCAGAAAATCCACTGCAGAGAGAAAACCACTTTTGCCTTTAAGCAAAATCCACAGATCTATAAAAATCCTACGGGCCACTCAGGGAAACCCAGGAAGCCTTGGAGGCTCAGATGAGCTGCCACTGGCCCCACGGGATTCTGGAAACACCACCAATCTGACTTGACTTCAATTACACCCGTACCAAATGAGGGAATGAAGAAAAGCCAAGATCTCTTTCTGGGTCCCCTTCCAGCCACTCACCCTCATAGGGCAACTGCCACTATATATGCACACACACAGACATACAAACACACTCACTAGTTCCAGCTGGACCTGGCATCTCAAACAGCTCAAAAAGAAAACCAATCCCTGCTCAGGCATCAGTTCCCACTTCCAGTGCCATCTTAGGTAAATCAGAGTAAAAGCCCTCTCCTTCCACCTCTGCATTCTGAAGTTTATGGCTGCTGCCACTGACCAAAGCTCAGTTCAGGAAACACTAAACTCACCACCCCCTATATGCCCAAGACAACAGCAGGATGTTGCTGTTGTCAGCTGCCATCAAGTGACCCCATGCACAACGGAATGTTGAAACACCATCCCCATGATCAGCTGCAGATCCATCCATTGTGATCCGTAGGTTTTCAATGACTGATTTTCGAAGTAGACCCCCCAGGCTTTTCTTCCTAGTCCGTCATAGTCTTGAAAGCTCTGCTGAAACCTGTTCAGCATCACAACAACAGGCAAGCCTCCACTGACAGACATGTGGCGGCTGTGCATAAAGTGCACCGGCCAGGAATCAAACCTGTGTCTCCCCTAAGGTGAGAATTCTACTACTGAACCATCAACGACCTCACTGTAGAATGTCACTACAGCAAAAAGGACAATACAGATCTAGTCTAACCTCCTCTATTTGCAGTTAGGGAAATGAGGCCCAGAAAGGTGAAGGCCCCAGGGATAGCTGCAGGCAGACTCAGGGTGGGAGCCAGAAGTCCTGACTCCCTTTCCGGTGCTCCTTCTAAGCTCATTACCAATTCCAGGGGGCCTAATGGCTCACATGTGGCCACTGGTGGAAGAATGAATCGAGAAATCTTTCTAGAGGAATCTCGGGTCATTGCCTGGTAAGCAGAGTTACTGAGGGCAGCGAGAGGTTCTCAGCAAGTGTGGAGAGGTGGGCCCCACTCAGGCACCTGGTAGGAGGGAGCCACACCCAGCCAGCCAATCAGTCCATGGGCCTCTGGGGCCCAGCATTCTAGCAAGGAGGATGGCTGACTGAGGCTGCAGGAGGGTTTTCCTCATCGACTAAGGCAAATGGAGGACTAAAGGATACCTAGAAGAGGAGAAAAGCCATTTTCTGTCCAATAGGACCATAGTCAGCCAGGAGCCAGTACCAACTCTAGTTCTAGGAAATAAAGGGGCTTGCTTCCTAAATACACACATGCATTTGTGTATTAAATGAAGCACACAGGAATTTCTATGCGCAAGAAGCAATCTGAATTTGGTAGTGCTGCCTAGGTAACTTTCCTGGAAACTGCAGATTCATGGCAAATTTACTTTGCTTAAGATTACTGGGGTCGGCGGCTAAACCACTACATATTAAAGGATGACAGGACAGAGACGGATTAATGACTGGTGTGGTGGGAGCAGGGGTGGCTGCCCCTCTATAAATAGAGTGACTAAACCACACCACCTTGACCATCTAACTCTCTGAGATTTTCTCTTGGCACCTCAACTTGCAAACGTGTAACAACATCCCTTCATTCAAACACTATACTGTATAGGAAAGGAGGACAGCTCTGTGGTTAATTAAGCATGTGAACTTTGTTCTGTGATAGTCTTGCCCCTTGCAGAGTCTCTCTGAGCCTCAGTTTCCTCATCTGTAAAAATGAAATCACAGCTACCTCATAAGGTAGCTGTGAAGTTTCAATGAACAGAGCATAGGAGAGTGCCCAGCACACAGTAAATGCTCAATATTATAATTCAAACTCACAAAGGAAGCTTATTATTTCCAAGCAATCCCTACCCTCACCCTTAGAAAGAGTGAAAAACCATCACAACTATCTATCAACATGAAAGAAAAGAATCACTAAGTATGCAAAAAACTCCTGGGGACTAACTAGTCCAATTCACCCATTTCAGATCACAAAACTGAGGCACCTCCAAGTATGATTCTGCCTTTGGGCAACAGCACGCTGGGTTTCCACCCCCACACTGACCTCCAGACACAGGAGATGGCTGGGTTTCAGGGCAAGTTCCACAGGAAAGAGGAAAGAAAAACTTCCGAATTTTGCAGATTTAAATGAGGAAAGAAAAAGGGGACATTTACCGTAAGTCCCTGAGGGGGGCTGTGGCCTAAAACCTCTGCTGTGCAAGAGGAAGGAAGAGCATGGGGGAAAGCCTGGAGATCCCTCTGAGTTGAAGAAGTCTAGTGATTCAGTTAGGGAGAGAGTCCAGGCCCCAAGGAGTCTCTCTCGGCCTACAGAAGGGAATAAACCCATAAACACCTGGTACCAGGCCAGATGAGAAAGATAGTATTTTTCTATATTGTCTTGTTCCAGAAAGGTTCTAAGGCTGCTGACTTTCTGAAATAAAAGCTACCTAGAGGGGCCACATCTAGGAGGGCTAAGCAGCAGGGAATTTGTTCAACCAACGGGAAGCCAGTGAAGGTTTTCACGGGGCAACACACATGGGCGAGTCAAATTCAT